TGACTGAGGATGTCTTTTGAATAAAGACGAAACGTCTCAAACAGAAAATAGTCGATTTTCATGATGAAAAAGGTTGTGTATCTCTTATTATCTATATTGAAATTCTTCACCTTACAAAATGACTCAACTTTTATTTAATTAAAATATTCGACGTTTCGGTTACTCAAGTAACCGTTATCAAGAATATAAACATAATTACTGTAACGTACAACAAAATTAATTTTTGAAATGTCGAATAGTTTAATTAAATAAAACTTTTTATGACTACTGTTGTAATAAAAAAATATATTTTGTCATTCAAACACATAGTGAATGTCCATGATTTTTACTCGAAATTTTGTAGTATGATCTTTTTATGGTATTTTAGAAACCTTTGCTTTTATTCAGCCAAGTGACGACTCCTCGAAAAAATCGTTGAGTTAGACTGAAAGCTTTTACTTATGCTGCCGGCTCTATTTCAGAATACAATTCTTTTTTGAAAAATATAATTTAGTTCGAGAGAGAATGAAAATCCTGTAGTGCTGGAAGGTAAACTGAGAAGTGCACAAAAAATATTTTCATTTTAAGATAGCATGTGGAACATATCCAGAAAAAACTTCACTTCGATTTCGCTGAATGATTCTTATTCGAGGGATCGCAACGTGATTAGATAAAAAACACATTTTCAAATAAACCATAGAAGTCTGACCATAGAAAATTCTGAGTAAAAACACATCGATGTTCCATCTCTGGTAAGAATTTCAAGTCGACACGATCTTTGCTTCTCATTTCTTGAATTGGTCAAAACGGCGGACAGGATTAGGCTTAACTACACTATCTCTTCCGTCTAACCGTTCAGATTATTCACAGAAAATATTTACTTCCGACTCTTCTGGCAGTTTATCGAAGGTCCTACTTATTTGAGAATATACTTGAACTGCCGTCTTCAAGGACCCATACCACGCCAGTCTATATTCAGATGGAATATTTTACCAGAGATCTTGGACTTGGAAATGAGTCGGAGTTGCTCAACAGTTACCTTTGATTGGATAAGATCGCAACTTTCCTATTTCCGTTTTTGCAAGTGTACTAATATCAACATAGCTAAATCTTTAACATACAGTGGATGTCAAAATTATTCACCCACCTTGCAAGGTGGGTGAATAATTTTGACACCTTCTGTATTTCATAGCAACAGTACGTAATTCTTCTGATCGATCATTATCCTTGCTAGCAATAATTGCAAGCCGAGAATAAATTCGAGATCTTTCGGACTAACTAATTCAAACTGGATTTTAAATACATGACAAAAATATTCGATTTGTTCGATAAATTCACTGTCTGCTGAATTATTTTCCACCAAACTCATTAATTGTGCATATGTGCCTTCTAATGGTTTTGATGCATACAGCAAGCTTTTTGTTATCTCCAGTTTTTGTTTTGTGCAATTGTTGTCCAATTCCAAATGATTGTTTTCAGACTTTAAACGTTCTATGTCCATTGTTACAGCAGCTAATTTCTAAATTAGAAAGACGCAAAGAGAGGTAAAAATTGTAACAGGCTGCAGTAAAAAAGTTTTAAATGCTCAATAAGGCTAAACCTTGTCAGAAAAGGGACATATGTCCAAACGGACTGAATGGCTTTTTTGTTTCGTTCGATTGAAAGGGAATCTTGAATACGTATCGTATCTATCATTACCATTCTAATAAAGAGACGTCAAATTTTAAATTTTTCTTTAATCATCGTTAGTTAGTCCAGCCGACACTGAACATGTTCACAGAAAAACACGAATGACAGAGACGTTCTTTCGTCGAGAAGACAGATGAACAAGAGTTATTTAGATAGTGTTTCGACAAGAACTTCATTATTTTTGTACAACGACGGTAGTTTTGTGGAGCCTAGTTTTATTTGATCAATCTGCAGGTTAGAAGGCGACACGACTGCTGAGACCAGTATCCATTTACAAAAATACTGTACTCAGTTGTTTTTCGAATAACGTTTGATTGAAATGAGGCACGGAGCTACGCTTTCACCATTCTGTAGAAGAATCTGACGGCATCTTCTAGGTAAAAATAACCTTAAAAAAAATAAATTAAGGTCAATCAAACGTTATTCAGAAACATGCAAGTGTACCATATTTTAGAACAGATAGTAGTCAGATCAGACTACATGCTGATGCATATATTTAATAATGAATTTAGGGAAGTTCGTCGATTCTGACGAGGCTACGTTTACAGCTAGATACCTCTTCACAGTTTTTTTTGCAAAAAGATTCAAATTCATATCAACGTTTTGATCTTCAATCGATAATTCAACATCGATTGAGACGTCTAAAATGAGGAAGAATATAACATCCACTAATATAGTATGTGTCTCCTAGTACTTTTTAAATTGGCTTTTACATTGTCTTGTGCTTTTTCTATTAATAGTGTTGCATTTAATGAGCTTTTGATTGCTCGGACTTCCGCGTGACTCAAGTGACTGCGTGCTGTCAAGGTACATAATACATTTTCACGACATACCGTTGACAAGCCTTTATCTCCTTCAATTAATTTGTACATATTACGACGCACGTGACTATACTATTGAATTTTCGGTCGTGATTTTTCGTCAAAATCATTATCCAAAAGCTGACATAGATAGAAGTGACCTGAAATTATAGAAGAACTCATTCACACTATGAAATGAATATTATCTAGATAATGCTATAAAATTCCCGAAAACCGTAACCATAACAGACACATTGACGACTAGATAACTGAGCTGAGCTTTTTGTTCACCACGTGATAACTGTGTTCTGTATACCCATGCTGGCATGGAGGCTTGGTATCATATCAGTCTTTACAGGACGAGTTTATCATTATATAAAATGTCAAAAGCTCTTTGTTCTAATACATCACCTGAATAGAATGACCTCGGTTCTACTTATGAGGAATCTCGCCAAGTGATCAAGGTCGCTCACAATACGTCGATCGGTAGAACCAATGATTGTAAGAGAAAGCCTAAAAGAATTTGTCTGTATGTGACCTGTTTGTAGAAATATGAATGATTTAAGTTTACTAGTAAGGGACATTACACTGCTTTGTACTGTTATTGCTTTTCGCATCTCTCAACAACAAAATGTTTTTGTGAGCTGAGGGCATTTCTCCAAGCCATCTCTTCAATACTTAATTAAGCGTAAAATTTCGGACTATATCTCAAGTATGAAAATATTCGCTCACTTTGGTGCCTCTGGTTCCATGGTTATTTTTGAATAAGAAAAGTAAGGTGTCTTAGCATATCTTTATCAATGATACACATAAAAAATTAGTATAAATGTAATGTCCCTTAGTAGTAAGCTTAAATCATTTCTATTTTTGCAAATAGGCCAGACGAAGACAAATCCTTTTAGGCTTTCTCTTACAATCGTTGGTTCTACTGATCGACATATCATGAGCGGCCTTAATCACTTGGCGAGATTTTCTCCATAGTTACGAGACTTCGACTAGCTTTCCTGTTACAGAGGACGTTTCGGGAACTCCCAGGATCAAATCCTCAATAGCTCTAGAAATAGAAAGCTCAATAATAAATGAAAACATACGCTGTCAACCATTCTGTATCTCATGGCAATGCGTACATTTTTTGTGTAAGTTCAGAAAGACTTCTTGAGCGAGTCTTACAAAGATCATTATGCTTTCACCATAGTGGACACAAATTATTAGCGTCATAGAAAGTATGGTATACTTTAACCGCACAATGGTTTATGGCCTATAAAGACTGAAACGATGCGCCACAGCATTTCTGATATTCGAGCGTGAATGTCTTAGCGATGGATTTCGGCCAAAGCATCTAAGAATATTTATTTCTCTAATCACAATAGAAAAAAGTTATGAAAAAGAAATTATGATAATCGGGACTTGTGTTAGAGGAGCATTTCTGAAGGAAAATTTCCTTCTCTCTTAAGATACTCGACCGGGAAAAAGACGTAAGCTGAATTATGTTCTGCATCCCTCTGTATATTCGAGAGAAAAACAGAGCGAGTTCTCTCTTCTTTTGTTTCTTCTTCAGAAATGATCGTCTGACATATGTCCGGATTATCATAATCTTATGGTTTGGAGAAAAGAAGAAGAAGAAGCGTTCTTCATATATCACGTGAAATGAGAGGGTGTCATACACAGAACAGAAAGAAATTTTTGCTCATAAGATTGTTGCCGTACTGTTTTCTCCTTTTATATACTTCTGTAACAGCAAGTTCAGAAAATTACAAATAAACATTGGGTATGATTCACGTAAAAAAAAACG